ATTCAAGATAGAGTTAAAATGCAGAAAATTTCTTTGTAAGCAATGGTTGAAAATTGACACGAATGAAAGCGTTTTTCAATTAATAAACTATTTCAAATATTAGCACTTGACCATTTAGATATCTAATCTGTCATGGGTTCCACTGTTCATCAAACACATGTTGAATGCTCTCGTCCAAATTCATCCAAATCTCACATATGGAATTTTATTCACAAGCAAATACTCTATGTTTCAAGAGACCAATATTATCAACACTTAAGCACCAAACATCCAATTTTGAATCATTTTGTCTGTTGAACTATTGCTGAATTTTTCTCATGAAGTCTGGGCAAAGAAATTACATTGAATACATTTTCTTATAACTTTTTAAAGTGGAGGGAGGCATTAATATTAAAACATTTTATATATTTTTAAGACTTCTGTTGGAAGAAAAACACCTAATTTGTTAATATATGTTATTTGAATTAATTAATATTCTTCAAAATTAGAGCTGTTTGCACACAAACATCAAAATGAAGAATTATTAAATGATGTTTCATGTAATCCTGATATTAGATTTAGAGATAGAAGTCTGTAAATATTTGGAGGAACATAAAAGAGGCATCTATCCCTTTTAAATGCATATCTTAGACTTTATTTTTATTTAAGTTTTTTTATTTAGAAAAAGTAAAATATAAGCAGGAAAAGTAGAACATAGCTTTTACAGAATTAGCTAAAAGAGACAAAGCTTTGGAATGTCTTTTAAATCTATTTTAAAAGCTCAGCTACTTTGATTTTTTTTCTGTTACAGACCCAAGAAAAGTTATTTCAACTGAATCGCATACATAACTCCTAGAGTGTAGACAGTTGCTATTATTTGTTCACTTCATCAAATGCTCTTTTAAATTCTTGCTACATCTGTATTACCAGGTCCTAGAGAAACCAAGGTGAAAGAGGCCCAGGAGAGGCCAAACACTCTTTGCTATTTCTAACAAAGGAAATGCCATTCTTGCCACTAACTCTTGGAATGATTTCCAAGTTCTCGAAAAATAATTTAACCTGTGTCAAGGAGCTGTCTTATCTGGAAAACTCAATAAACGAATGTAGAAGTTAGAAAGAGTAGGGGAAAGTTAGGTGTTATATTGAAATGGTTTATCCCAGGCAGGTTGAATTGAGACTCCAAATTAGCCTGCATACTTCCATACATCTGCTCACTTTTCTTTAAACTTGAGCTATATTATTGCAGAAAAGCATGATAATCCCCACTCTGATCTTGTATATCAAATGAAGGAGGTTGAAACATCATAGCACATGCACCTTTCTAGGTCAGTTAAATATTATGAGTGGATACATTTCCTTTGGGGATCAGCATTTTTACATTTAAGGACAGATTAAACAGGGAGAAAAAGTAGAGGAGAAATATATAAAATATTTGTATCCAATGACAAGGATTCCAATTTTACATTAAACTTTAGCTTAAAGAGGACATGCCTATTAGATTATACTTCACTTAATAGTTGGATCCTTAAACATTTTGTGCAAATTATTTCTCGGTAGCCAAATCCTACTTCACTGTACCTGAATAGTGGTTCACATGTAAAAACCTCAGCCAAAGGCTCATGTAGTGCCAAAGTGAAGAGTATCCTTTATTTATTTGTTTAAAAAGGTGAGGTCTTTGTACACTATTTTCTTAATTTGAAGCAGTTTTAATGTGGCAGTTATAAAAAATAAAATTTTAAATTATATTACATAAGTTTTCAAGGAAATTATATTTCATAATTTTCCAGCCGTAGAATTATTTAATATGAATGTTTACTATATGTTGGCTCATGCATGAAATATTTCTTATAATAATTTTAAGGACATCTGCTAGTGTTCTCAAGCAGAAGAACTGAGGTATTTTTAGGAGGGATCACTCTGCATTGCTTATCAATATTTTTCAAGAAAACCAAAAGTACAATGGAAACATTCTACAATTTAAACATTTTCTCATTTTCATTTTTTAATATGAAAGACAACTTATAAAAATTTTTATAAAGAAAAGGGGCTACAGTAAATTGCACTTGTTCATGCTGACTGGTATAAGAATGAATATTCAATTTGTCTAAAGGGTCCTGGGATGGCACAAATACAGGTTCATGCTCTGACTTTGCTTTCCCGGTCCCACAATTTGCTTTAGTGTTGGCTGGAAAGGGGATGAAAGGAGATAATATATGAAACATCTGCCATTTGCCAAGAACCTTGTTTAACATTTTACATATGGTTTCTCACTTATAAAAAGTAATATAAAATCAAAAAGAACAGCCAAAATAAATCCCTTATTTTTCTTCCTATCAAATCTAGATTTTTCTCATCTGCCTGAATAGAAATACAGTCTCTAGTAAGGAAGAAAAGCCTGATTTCTTTCTCTTTTCCCTGTTTGTAGTCACAATTTTTAAAGAGTCATGAAATAAAATCCAGAGGGGGCTGGCAGCCCAAGAGAGAATGCTGCTTTTATTTACCTTTTTCTCTCTGAAGGTTAGATGGTGATAGTTGAGAGAAACTGGACAAATAGCAGGTAAAGAAAATGGGCAAACGTTCAGAATAAAGAATAGTTTTCAGCTGATTTGAAATAACAGATTATTAATGACTGATTTAAAATGGTTAAAATGCACTGAAATGTAAATCTTTAAGTCCAAATACTGGGGGGATAAAGGTAATTTATTTAATCTCATTTAAGACTAACTAAATTTATAATCTCTTGGAGAAGCCAGGAGTGGTGGCTCACATGTGTAATCTCAGTGCTTTGGATGGTTGAGGCAGGAGGATAATTTTAGGCCTGGAGTTCAAGGCCAGCCTGGGTGACATAGTGAGACCTTGGTTTCTACAAATTTCTAAAAATCAGATGGACATGATGGTGCATGTCTGTAGTTCCAGCTACTCATGGGGGGCTGAGGTGGGAGGATTCCTTGCGCCCAAGAGTCTGAGGCTGCAGTGAGCTATGATCATGCCACTGCACCCAAGTCTGGGCAACAAAGGGAGTCTCTATCCCTAGAAAAATAAAAAGTATACGCCGGGCGCGGTGGCTCACGCCTGTAATCCCAGTACTTTAGGAGGCCGAGGTGGGTGGATCACGAGGTCAGGAGATTGAGACCATCCTGGCTAACACAGTGAAACCCCATCTCTACTAAAAATACAAAAAATTAGGCAGGTATGGTGGGGGGCGCCTATAGTCCCAGCTACTCGGGAGGCTGAGGTCGGAGAATGGCGTTAACCCAGGAGGCGGAGCTTGCAGTGAGCCGAGATTGTGCCATTGCACTCCAGCCTGGGCGACAGAATGAGACTCCGTCTCAAAATAAATAAATATAAATAAATAAAATTAAAATAAAATAAAAAGTACAATTTTTTTTTTGGAAAGTGATTTCATTAACTCCCTTATATCATTTAATAACATTAAATTTGGCATGGCTTGTCATTATAGGTAGCTATACCTCAGCTCTGCTAAAAGTGATGAGATTTAGAAAGATCATCGTTAAGATGAGAAACTGTACTGAATTGATAAAAGTATTTTTATAAATCCTTCAGTCAATACTATCCTAAATCTGTTTTGATTTAAAAGCCATCCATACATATTGTATAAATCAAATTTTCAGTCATATAATTGTAATATTCTCTATTTTTATCCCAATAAAGCATGGGTAACATGGGAAACAACATTTCCAATCAAGAAAGTTTTGTTTGCTGATGTGAATTAACCAGTAGTCTGAAAAATTTAAGTGCTTATAAACTACTTGAGAGCAAAAATAAAATAGTATTTATTGCTGTCTTTCTTGGCTTATCACAGCACTCACCTTAGGCTCATAAATGGCTATATAGTTGTCCTAAATGATAAACAATTTGAATCAAGATTACCACTGTGAATTAAAAGCTGGATTACAAGTAGATCTTGATTTATAGGAAATTTGTGTCCCCCTGAGTAGGCTAAGCCCTGGCCTCGGTCACTGCTAACCCACATTTTTCCTGTCTGCTGGCCAGTGACGGAGAAAACACACTAAACATTTTGATGTTTCACTATAAAAGTGCATGTCATTATGTGGCTAAAGTCTTTATAGTCTCCCACACCAAAGTCATGTTTGAAACACAATACATGAGCAATCCTGAGCAGAGTTTGTTATGAAGAAGGATACTGAGAATAAACAGATGAAATTCTAGACATTTCTAAAGAGGATCCAGCTATTTAATGGCCACTGAAGTCTTCAATGAATAGGTGTGAATATTTCAGTGTAGTCCAACCTGAACTGAAAAGCAGTTCTTACGTCCAAATTTAAATACCTCTTGTGCATATAAAAATGGTCCACTTATTAGTCCAAACATTACTATGATTGGGATCCTGAAATAACATTCTGTTATTATTGGGTATATTATTCAGCAAAAAACCATTGGGAAGGCTAGGCTAGAGACTGAGACTTGTGCTTGGAGATGACAAAGTTGAGACATCCTGGTATTTACCCCACAACAGGTCGGGATGGGCTGAAGATGGCTGAGTAAGTACATTTCTTTGTTTAAGTTAAAATAATAAACCATGGATGAAAGTCTGCAAAATTCTATTCACCAACTGAAAAGTTGTTAGTATTTGGATATTGAGGATCATCTGAACCACTTTCCTCATAGGTTGGGTCCATTGTCTTAAAAACGCAAGTGCAGCTCCCACTGAGAGGGCTGCAGTGAGCTACGTGACCACACTGACACTTGAGAGCACAGTTTGGTCCATCCAGGCCCGGCCTGCATTCTATGAGGGAGAAAATAAAAATAAAAGAAATTCAGATATGCTTTCAAAAACACACTGTGTTCTTACTATTACTTCTTGGCATTCAATAAGATAATTATACGTTTGTAAAGTATTCTTTTTTACCATGGGGTATCTTCCCATGCTAGAATGCTATGTGATAAAAGTAAGAACGCCGATGGAAAACAGGAGAAGGCTGGGAGTGTCAAGGAAATTAGTGATAACACTGAAAAGAGAAGTCAGGACAGCTACTTACATTTTTAAGGTGCCTTCTCAGAATCAGAGTATTCAGTAGAGCTTTAGTGGTTGCATTGTGAAGGACACAGGGAAAGTTGGCTAGTTGTCTCGAGGTCAGAGAAAGGCAACGCTCACGCTGAATGCCCAATACAGGAGACTTACCTTTAGGATGAAAACACAATTATTTGTACTTATGTTATTGAAAATAAAATGGCTTTAATTTCAACTGTTTCATTTCTTAAAATATGTCAGAAGGTCCATAGATCCCCTGATCTATGTCCTACAGGACTCTAACTATCTTTAAATTGAATTGCATTGTGCTTGCAACTGAAAGAGAGATGATGGAAAATTATAGAAAGTGTTAGCTTTATTAAAACAACCAAATGTTGACCGAAAAGGCCCAGGCTGGGTGTTTGCTCTTAGCTTAATTTCCATCAGAGAATTAACAAGTTCTATTTCTAAAGAATTACGAGGATAAGGAGAAAGCCCTGCCCAGCTCATGGAAACAGAAAATAGATTCATATTTCCCACTTGGTCAGGCAGGACTGGGAAGAAACTCAGTTTGTCAATGTTTAAGGATCAGAGAAACTCAACTGTTCAATCCTAATAGTCACCTATCCTTGTGGAGTTTACAAAGTGTGTCTCTAATACATTATCTCTGTTGGTTCTAACACCTGTGAGGTGGGCAAGGCAGTGAGTTAAGCTCTCACATTCTTCAGAGAAATAAACTGAGGTTTGGTATGGCTTAAAAGATCTCAATTACTACAATATATCTCTGATAAACAGCAGAGCTGGGTTTTAGAATTCCTACCTAGTGCTCTTTCCCCATTTTACACTACTATATGAGTGGATACAAGGTGTTAAGCATATGCAGAAGAAAGCCCTAATAAAAAAGTAAAAAGCAGGAAAGTGAGAATTTGGGAAATGTCAGTAAATATGAAGATACAGTCCCTGGGGCAAATTCTGAAACTTTGGGCAAATTTCGTTTAAAAATTCTTTATTGACTCACTATCCTTTGTGCTGGGTTAGAGATGAGCAGCTGGATGTAATTTTTTTATTCTTTTGCATTATGAACGTAGGTTAAGATGTGGCCTAGCTCTCTTGCCTTAATTAACTAATTAGATTAGAAATATAAGGTAAATAGAAACATAAACCAATTTTGCAATTAATTATTTTCACAAGGGTTCAACATCAGCAAACAGTAATTCAATCCCTTCCTAAATGAAGGAGAAACAGGTTCCTTTAAGAAGAAGCTTTGGAGGCAATGGAAATGCTGCTCTAAATCTTTAAACCATGAAACTTTGTGAAAAATTTAAAAAATCCTGTATCATTTTAAATGAAGTTCAACCCAGATACTTCTGCCCAGTGTGTGCGAGGATTACTTAGTTTGGTGGCAAGATTGAGTGTTCTAACTAGAAAAAGTTGTGAGTCAGGCTCTTTCCTGAGCACTCCAGAATCTGATTTTAATTTATAAAAATACCACATTTTCATGTTAATAATGATGTATATTTAAGACATCTGTCTGAATGTCTGCAAATGTTAATTTACCAATGGGGGAAAAATAATCCAATAAAAAGTTGTTATATTCTTTTATGAATTAATATTATGGCTGTTTAATAGCTCCTTTACCAGAGTTCAGGTTAAAATGAGGTCTTTTATCTTTATGGTGCCTGCATAGACACAGCTGTTCACACTTAATATCACAGATGAACTGTGCTTAATTGAAAACAAAAATGAAAATAAAAGACCTTGTAGGACATCTGTGTAGGCCATGACTTTATTTAGAAATAACCCTTCTTTTAGAAATGAAGCTTCAACCCTTCTTTTTTGCAGATGAGAAAAGTAAATTCTGAGATTAAACCCTCTATTTTGGGAAATATCTGTGGCAGGGTCAGTCCTTCAGGTCCATTGTGAATTATATAAAACTTTTCATCTCATAATCATCCATTAAATCTAGTAGCAATTGATTAGTTCAAAATTACTCAATCTACTCTCTCTTCTTCTTAAGACAGTCCCTGAAGAATTAGAACTTTATATTTTAGGTCATTCTTTCTCTGAGTCAAAAGAAAATTGAAATATACATTTCAATTCCCAAAGAGTAGCCTGAAGCTTAGGTGCAAAGAATACCATCTGGAGGGACCACACCTTAATTGCCTTAATTCTAGTGATTTCTATGAATCGCCTTTGTGATGGGGCATTTAACTGTGTCCCTTTAAATACTTACCATGTTACCACGTGTCCTCCGACAGCTATAGTGTTGTTTGAGCTGCCTGTGATGTAACAGTTACAAATCCTGCTCATCATACTAAGGGCAAAGTATCAAGCAATTCTGGGCAATGCTCTTTAATAGAGTACCACTTCTAGTAGGAAAATGTCTACAGATATCTATATAACCATGGGTCAGGGGGCAGTCCTTAGGTGCTTTGGGTCTTACCAGCATCACATCTGACTCAGTTCTCCCAGGGGGGCAGAGGCATTTTTCAGTTTTTGGGTGGCAGAAGTTTTCTCCTTCACAGTCACAAAGTTGATGGCAAGCGTCTCCAAACATGCCAGGTGAACACTGACCAAAAAAGGAGAAATGTTGAAAAATTAACACCTTGCACTTTCATTAATGCATCTTAATGAAAATTAGATACAAAATATCCTCAAGATTGAGTTCCAAATAGTAAAGTGGGATGATACCGGAATTTGCTGGTAAAAAGAAGAGAGAAACGTTTTGGAATGTCAGAATGAAGGTCCATTCTATAACTGATTTGACTTGCAAGTCTTAAAGTTGATTTACTTTAACACTAGTATATATCTTTAGAATGCAAATAAAATTTTTGAAGGTAGGAGCTTTAGGAAGGGAACCAAGTCTACAAGCCTATTGTTTTACCTTTAATATTTCCCCTTAAAGTGTTTTTATTATTCATTTCTCTAGAAGACAATAAACTCCATGTTTTCCACTATATTTCCAGAATTTAACACAGGGCCTGCTACTTGTCATGTGGTAGTATACCAGAGTCAGGTTAGAATTTGTTATCTTATTGCTACCACAGATACATAATGGGTGACATTTTATTGAATCACTAAATAATACATGAATAATGAAGGATGTACAAAAAGATTTGTGAGTCAGTATCTCTCCTGAGTACTCCAGATTCTGATTTTAATTTATAACAAATGACTTCTTCTGATGTGCAGTCAGAAAAATATTGATCTTCTCCAGACCTGGAGGTAAAATCTCCAAGAGGTTTAAGTCCTCCGTATTGGACTTACTAAGAGACAATTCTGTATTACACTTGATTGGCCACCTAAGGAAATGTTTCAGAGATTAAATTTTAGACTTTAAAACCTAACTTCCTTGTAAGATATTTACCTACCGTATATGCATCATATTCTTTCACACTCTTTCATCCTTCTTCTCTTCCTCCTTCCTTGGTCTCAGACCCATGTTTGTCATTTACTCCCAGGATTCAAATATAAAAAACTATATGATATCACCTTCCACAGATACCCTTTTATTTATTTACATAATTTAATTTAAAAATCATTCTCACTAAATTTAGCCTGGATTTGAACACATTGCTTCTTTATGTCTTATTTATGATTGTGCCACTGCAGCCAGAAAAATATTGATATTTTTCTTTATAGTGACATCTGGGAACGTAGTATGAGACTAATATACAGATCATTTTTAAAGGCCACCGACAATAACTTTGACTACCATTATCATCATACTATAATTGTAACAGTCATGATTGTTGTAACTATATGCACAAGACTGTACATAATATAGGCCAAAACAGGACTTTGTGTTGTTTACTGAGTTAGTGGCTTTTAGGGCTTTATAATATTTTATTTCAAACTGAGTAGCCCAAATTCTCACCTTTACATCTTTATCTTCACTCATGGCTATGATTACTTTCTAGTGGTAAATGCCTAATTCACATCTTTAAATATTTTCATAAATTCCTTGTATCTCTTTCAATGCCATTGAACCCAATACATAGGTCACATTTGTTAAAAGCATTTAATGAAATATTTATTCTCATTCAGAGGTAGAATCCTTGTCCATCAAAGACTATCATTTTTAGTGGTGTTTTGAAATATCTCACAACTTTATATAAAGGAAACTAAAATTTTGACTAATCAGCCACAAAATCAGAAGGACTCATTATATTGGCCATTGAGTGAATTCCTACCACTTTAATGTGCAAGTTGAATGGTTAAGTTATTGCTGCGTATTTTCAGTTTCATTACATGTTTGTGACCAGATGAGAAGATCTCACATTTATTTCCTTAAAAATTCTCACATTTATTTCCTTAAAAATGCTCTGGCAATACCTTTTTCACATCGGCTGCTGTGGACACCTGCTGGGCAAATGCACTGTTCCCTTGCTGCATCACAACTAGCTCCATTTTTTGCAGTCATAGATGTGAGCATAATTCAAGCCATAAAATCCAGGAGGGCACACTAGGAAACGGAAACGTCAAAATGCTATTACTTTAAAAGTAAATAAAAGGAAAATTAAAATTTTATTTACTTTAAAAGTAAATAAAAGGAAAACTAGAATATGTTCAATTTATTTGTTTCCCAATACTAAATAAAGAGATGAGAGAATTGGAAAGAAAGAAAAAATTATACAGGAAGCATATTGACGATAATTTGGTCATACAAATAAGTGAATATACATGTGCCAGTCTCTATAACTAGTCTAGAAAAATGAATGAGGAAATTGAAATAGCTTTAAGTAGATCATGCTTATGTCTTCTGATGTGCACATAAACATTCGGTCAAAGCCTTTCCTAAAATCCTTCAATACTGGCTGGGCGCGGTGGCTCATGCCTGTAATCCCAGGACTTTGGGAGACCAAGGCGGGTGGTTCACGGGGTCAGGAGTTCGAGACTAGCCTGACCAACATGGTGAAACCCCGTCTCTACCAAAAATATAAAAATTAGCCAGGCATGGTGATGCATGTCTGTAATCCCTACTCAGGAGGCTGAGGCATGAGAATCGCTTGAACCTGAGAGGTAGAGGTTGCAATGAGCCGAGATTGTGCCACTGCACTCCAGCCTAGGTGATGGGTGACAGAGTGAGACTCCATCTCAAAAAAATAAATAAGTAAAAAATAAAAAAAATCCTTCAATACCTTAAAGACATAAAGAAGCAATGTGTTCAAATCCAGGCTAAATTTAGTGAGAATTATTTTTAAATTAAATTATTTAAATAAATAAGAGTATCTGTGGAAGGTGATATCATATAGTTTTTGGTATTTGAAGCCCTGGGAGTAAATGATGGGTGTGAGAGAAATGATCTTTCTCTAATTTCTTTTGATATTTGATCATTTTCATATTTGAAGTCCTGATATTTTGATATTTGATCATTTTGATATTTGAAGTCCTGGGAGTAAACGATGGGTATGAGAGATGGGTGTGAGAGAAAGGAAGGAGGAAGAGAAGAAGGAAGAAAGAGGGCAAAAGAATATGATGCATATACGGTAGGTAAATATCTTACAAGGAAGTTAGGTGTTAAAAGTCTGTAAAATTTAGTCTTTGAAACATTTCCTTAGGTGGCCAATCAAGTACAATATAGAATTGTCTCTTAGTAAATCCAATATGGAGGACTTAAAACCTCTTGGAGGTTTTACCTGCAAGACTGGATAATATCAATATTCTTCTGGCTGAACATCAGAAGTCATTGGTTTGTATTTAGAAATCATGTAGTCTAAGCAAATACCCTTATTTGAAAGCTAAAATTGTCGTCTGCCTAGGGAGATGCTCATTCTGAAGAGGGGTGGGAGAGCTTGACTGTGGACAAAGGATTTCCATTTCTTTTCTTGAGTTTTCTCTGGGGCTATGCTTACCACTCACCCATAGAATACAATTTCCTCACCTTTTATTTATTACCTCCTTTTGCTTTTCTTTTTCTCTCTTCTCGCTTTCTCTCTCTGATCCCCCTCTGCCCTCTTAACAGATAGGTAGAGTTGAATTTGACTAGGCTTGATGTGGAAGACACTTCTCCAGTATGCATGAAGTTACTCATGACAGATTTATCATTAGGAAGCACTGACATTCAAGGAGCAGAAAAAAGAAGTAAAACTGAAAGAAGATAAAGGAATGAATTGTATACTATATATTCTTTCATTTACTGACCTCATACAATGCTTAAAATTAAGAGAGATCCATGCATAGTTTTCTTGTTTGTTCCTATTAATTTTTATCGAGAACACTTAGCAATATCAGATTTCCTTTATCTCCCTTACTTTAATTATATATAAAACTGAGATACGCCGTGGCTCACACCTGTAATCCCAGCACTTTGGGAAGCAGAGGCAGGCGGATCACCTGAGGTCGGGAGTTTGAGACCAGCCCAACAAACATGGAGAAACCGCATCCCTACTAAAAACACAAAATTAGCCGGGCGTGGGGGCACCTGTCTGTAATCCCAGCTACTCGGGAGGCTGAGGCAGGAGAATCACTTGAACCTGGGCAGGGGCAGGAGCCGAGATCGCGCCATTGCACTTCAGCCTGGGCAACAAGAGCAAAACTCCATCTCAAAACAACAACAACAACAACAACAAACGAGATAATAAAGGTTGCCACACTTGATGCCTCCATTTTGCTAAATAATACTATCATTCTTCCAAGTTCCCTCCCTGGCTTGGAATTTTGGAGCCATCTTTGATTCCTCCATTTTCCTTATCTTTATCTCCAATACTTTGGGATGCCGAGACAGGTGGATGGACTGAGGTCAGGAGTTCGAGACCAGCCTGGCCCATATAGTGAAACACCATCTCTACTAAAAATACAAAAATTAGCTAGGCATGGTGGCAGGCGTCTGTAATCCCAGCTACTCAGGAGGCTGAGGCAGGAGAATCGCTTGAACCCAGGAGGTGGAGGTTGCAGTGAGCTGAGATCGTGCCATTGCACCCCAGCCTGGGCAACAAAAACAAAACTCTATCTCAAAAAAAAAAAAAAAAAAAAAAAAAAAACAAAAAAAAAAAAACCATTAGCTAACCCAAGCAAGATAAAATCGATAAAATGCAAATATATGACAAAGATTTTTTAAGGTGGAGGGAATGACCATCAAATGAGATAAATATCAAAATTATAATATGAATAAATTTAAAAACTGAACGAAATGAAAGATGTTATAGAAAATAACTTACCAAAATTATCCCAATTTGAGGCAGAAAATCTAGACAAGGCAATTAAGTTAGAAAAACAATATAGAAAATAGTAAAATAGCCCCTGCATTGAAAGAACAAACAAACAAACAAACAAAACCAACAAAACCCAGCAGTTTCAGGTTCACAGAAAAATTTTATAAAGCTTTACCAATCAGATCATCACCTTACTACTTACACTGTTACAGAGCATTATAAGAAAGGAAAATCTCAACTACATTGTGCTGAGTGCATATGACATCAATTTCAAAATCTGACAAAAGTTACATTAAAAACTAAAGCTCAGTTTCACTCATGAATATCAACGTCAGAATCATAAAAAAATGTAAGTATACAGGATCTAACAGCACATTACAGAGTATAAATCACAGCAAAGTAGTATTTATTCCTAGATGTAAAGTCATTCATTATAAGAAAGTTCATTAATACAACACATGATATTTATCAGCCTAAAGAGAGAATCTTATCACTAATTGTGTAGGTAAAGAAAAGACATTTGCAAGAGAGTCACTATAAATTTGGTATAAAAATATTGAATAAATTAGAAAATTAATAGCTATATATTAATATGAATATTAAAAGCTAACATCTTTTTTTTTTTTTTTTTTTGAGACAGGGTCTTGCTCTGTCACCCAGGCTGACGTGCAGTGGCATACCTTACTGCAGCCTTGACTTCCTGTACTCAAGCGATCCTACCACCTCAGACTCCCAAGTAGCCAGGAGAACAGGCATGTGCCACCATGCCTGGCTATTTTTTCAAAAAAAGGGTTTGTAGACATGGGGTCTCACTATGTTGCCCAGGCTTGCCTCAAACTCTTGGGCTCAAGTGATTTTCCCACTTTAGCCTTCCAAAGTGCTGGGATTACAGGCATGAGCCACTGGCCCAGCCCAATATCTTATTTAATAGGAAACAAAATGTTTAAACAAATGCAAAAATGCACCATGTTTGTTCTTGGAGAGTTAATATAAATATGTCAGTTCTCCCTGAGAGAAAGTAGGCACAACATAATCTTTGGATGATGCTGTGAAAACAGACATTTCATATATTGCTTATGACAATGCAAAATGATACAACTCCACAATGGAGAAGAACTTCTTGTATGTCACAGAATTACATTTTAATTTACCCAAAGATGCAGAACTCACTGATATTGCTAGAGAAGGAGAATTGGCAAAAATATTAAACAATATATGCACAAAAAAATTCTGTATATTGATACAAACTTTATAATACCAAAAGCTTAGAAACAACCTAAATATCTGTTATTAGGAGACTGGTTGAATAAATTATGCTGCATTCACAGTGAAGCACCATTCAACTATGAAAAGGAGTGAAAAATAGCTTCACGTACTATTATAGAGCAATCTCTTGGATACATGTTTATGTTCCATAATATTCTTGAAATTATAAAACTATAAAGATAACATCATATTAGTTACTGCCAGAAGTGGATTTGGGGATGAAATGGGGGTGGGTGCAAATATATAATGAAGAGACAGTATGAAGTAGTTTTTGTGGAAATAGAACTATTCTGTATCTTGATTTTGGTGGTAATTACACAAATCTATACAACTTCATAGAACTACACACACACACACACACACACACACAGATATGCACATACAGATGAATGTAGGTAAAAACTATATTAGTTCTGTAGTCTAGTTAACAGTAATGTACCAATATCAATTTCTTGGTTTTTACATTGTACCATAGTTATATAATATACCACTGTTCGAAGAAGATGGGTGACAGATACAAGGGACTCCTACTTTTGTAACTTCTTGTGACTCTATAATTATTTCAAAATAAAGAGCATTTAACAAGGCAAAGTGGAAAATTGCATAGAATCAAATTATAAGAAAGGGAGATAGGAATACATATGTCTATTTTCTTACATTAAAAAATTGAATAGTATGCCATACAAACTTTTTCTTAAAAGGCCATTTATATTTGGGAGCAGGGAATAGAGTGGAAACAGCAAGAAAGAAGCTAGATTTCTCTGATTATAACATTTTTCAGATATTTAAATATTTTATGTTACTGTAAATAATAATTAAAATCAATGAAATGAACCTAACTATGATTGAATTGGTGGCAAAACTATGTAGCAAAGAACTGTTTCAAATAACTTCAGAACACAGTAATTGGACAACATGTGTCTAGTGGAAAGTGTAAGAAAAAAACTACAAAAAATTTAAATATTTAAAATATGTATTAATGATTTAAATATTTAAATAGTAAATTTAATTAATTATTAAACTGATCAACTTAAAATTAATTAAACCAAAATTACTTTTTAAATTATTTAAAATAGTTTTATATTTAATTGAGATAGTTAATATTTAAACTAATTTTCAGAATTATACTGATGTTAGTAGTGTTGCTATTTTGAGATTTGACTGTACTATGGAATAAAGCAAATGAGAAATTATATTGATGTTGTTCAGAATCAAGAATTTTAAAATGGGAGAAAGAAAATGCATATGTAAGAACAAAGAGGGTATGTAAAATTGCTGTGGTCCTCAGTTTGAACTGCATTTGTATGAACTCATTATATAGTTGATATGTAATAAAAAGGCATTTCATAGCTCTGTTCAGAGAAAGTCTTAGAAAAAAATAACTATCCCAGTTGCAGTGAGCACAGCCAAATTTTGGTTTCTATACACCGTTTCCAACTAAAAGAAACCAGAGCACTTTGGAAGAAGTGGATTATTTCAGATTTGGAAATGCATATGTAGAATTAAGCATAGAACAAGCACCTAGTTATCTCAGATAACAAGGAATGGATCATATTACTGGGGTTGTGCAATTGGAACTCAAGAGCCAATTGTAAGAGGCTCCCTCTGTCCAATGATAGAAAAGTGTGACATCAGTGAGTATACTAACTGTATGAATTTAAGTGTATCAACATGTTTGACCTCCATGATTTCATAATAGTGCTGCCGAAATGTAGTTTTTGTTCATCTTGGAAGGATACTAGTAAATCAACTATCTTGTAAATTGATAAATAAGTGGAAAGTAGAAAGCATTTATCTTGCCTTTTTCATGTGAACCATGCCTCAAAATAACCAAATATGTGATCAGAGAAAAATTCTCTACATAGACCTATTCTAACTAACAAGTAAAGAAAAATTTATGGACTTAGAATATCAATCTTCTGTAAGCTTTAATGAATTCATGGATCAGGGCAATAATGATCATTGACTGCTAGTATAACAAAAAGATAGGCAAGCCTGACACGTGCCTTATTGTGGAAGACACATCACCCATGAAGTGTTCTCATCAATATATCAAGCCTGAATCTGATCAAGACTTCATCTACCCAGGGAAGGCAGAAGATAGAGAAACGTGTGATTATAATACCAAAATACACAAAGGGCAAAATGAGAAACTTGACAACAGCAGCAACCTAATTTTTTCAATACGTATCTTACAAGGGGGAGAAAGAAAAAGAAGGAACTTCTAATTGTTAAAAGATATTAAAGAAACTTATATCAAGGACTGAATTTTAGAGGTAGTATTTGAATCTTGAGTCAATAAATGTATTAAAAAATCATAATGCTTGAAGACTATTTGACTATAAAAAGAAATTAGCATTTTTGATATGAAAATTGTATCATAGTTACATTTAAAAAACAAATTCTTGTCTTTTAAAGATATATACTATGAGAATGTATGGATAAAATGAAACGATGCTTAGGATTTGTTTCAAAATAATTAGGAGAGAGGAACAGAACTAGCCATGAGTTTCTAATTATTGTGACTGGGTGACAGGTACATTAGGATTCATATATTATTCTCTAGATTTGCAGAGGACTAAAATCTTCATTAAAAAGAAAATCCTATACTTTTATTAAAGACATATTTTGATTGGTTCTGTTTAGATGAAACAATAAGATAATTAAAATTAAAAGTTTTTTAAATGATTAGATATGCTGAAGTATTGTGGGTATATTTTTAAAAGAATACTACTAATACTTATCAATATTATGACCATGATCTGCTTCTAAATAAAACCATAGAGGTACAGAGTGAGGGATTGGGTGAAAGTATAGATGACATAAGATTAATCATAAATTGATAATTGTTGAAGGTGAATGACAGATCTATGGGGATTCATTATACCATTATATCATTCTCTTAACTCTTGTATGTGTTTGAAATGTTACATAATAAAAAGTTTAAATGATAGAATCAATGGTAAAAATATCCCACATACTAAATGCCAGAAAATTACTCAATTTACAATCAAAAAGAGCATGGACATGATAGTTCCGTCTGTTTTTAAAAAGTTGATTTTTTAATCTCAAATCACAAAACTGATAAGGGCCATCTCCCATGAATTAGGGAGGATATCCATCTTGTCAAAATCCCATGAAAAATGGCCTTGAATCTTAGATTTGGAAGGACTGTCAGGTATTATTCAGCTCAGTACCCTCATACTCAGATGGGATAATTAAATCACAATGAGGATGTGAACTGCCCAAAGGCAGACCACATGGTGTTAGCAGAGCCAGGGTTAGGATTCATGTTTATCCATGCCCATTGCAATGTAGTTTCTTCTGCACCATGTTGCTGAATTTCTTTCATGACAGTTGAATTAGTAGTGACAGATGGTAGATAATCACACTCATTGTCACCAGGTCTAAAGAATCACATCACCCATAGTAGAAACCATCTAGGTAAACGTACACTGTGAATTTTTTTCTACTCTGAGTGCCTCAAGTTTAGGCCTCCAGCACAAAGTTCTCACCACACTTTGCCAGAACCTTTGCTCTGTAATCTGCCAAAATACAGTGTCTCCTACAATAATGTGCTCTAAATAAAGCACATGCTTTCCAGTGTTGTACAAAATAATAAATTGTGGTTCAGGAAAACAAACATTAGAACAACTATCAATATTCATTTTATCCATTTTTATCACTTTAAACATTTATCTACATTTTATAATATACTTATTAGTCAAGAAGTGCAAGAATGTCATTTATAAATAAAAGTGCATATACAGTGGTATAGCAGGTCCCCCCATCCATGGAGAATACATTCCAAGACTCCCAGTGGATGTCTGAAAGCTCAGATAGTATTGAACCCTACATACACTACGTTTTCCACTATACATACATAGGAATAATAAAGTTTAATTCATAAATTAGGCACAATAAGGCATTCACAATAACTAATAAAATAGAAAATTACATCAATATACTTAATTAGAGTTTTGCCAATCTTACAAAAATCTTATTGTACTGTACCACAGGTAAACCACAGGCAAAGGGGGACCACTGTACTAATCAAATTTTTCCTGATGAAATAAATTTTGGAAACTTTTAGGAAGCCCTCTTCCCTCCTTGTAGCTGTGCCTACTCTTACTCAGGTGATCTGGCTTCTCCCAGAGCCCTGTATCCTCCACTTTACCTGCCTCAAAGCCTCAGGGGTGTTGGAGATTCTTCAGCTTCATGCCTAGAAACTCAAGACTTAGTAGATTCAGTGTCCACAAAGCCTTTGGGTTTAAAAAGTGGCTGGTAGGGGAGTTAAATTTAGGTCTCAG